ACCCAGCAATTATTCTTCCATTTTTTATGCTTAGTAATGCTCTTATAAAATACAGCAAAATACGTTATTCTTTTCAAACAATGTTTAGAAATAAATTCATTGCATGGAAACTTTGGCAGTCTAATGAACCCGAGACAATTTAAGGTCAACTATAAATTGCATAAAACTTTTCATTAGAATTATTTAAGTTTAGTTTTAGGTTTTATATACATCTAGATGTCAAGTATTGTGACACATTGCATCCCTTAAAGAGACAGCATCTTATTTCATCATCTATCTTTTCCATACTATATGCAATTTATAAGAGAAGTCTTTAATAATGATTTGGTTCAAGCAATACCTCTTCACTGAATGTACTGGAGGGTCTGTATATTGTTTATGGCAAACAAAGATAGGATATGTTGTTGCTAAAGTTTATTTCAGTTAAATGAATGCATGTATTTATTCATTTATTCTATATTACTTTGCCTTAAAGATGAAGCACATAGAAGGAAGTAATTGGTCATTTTCCTGTCTTGACTGAAAACAATCAAGTTGGTAACTTTGCACTGAACAGGTCATGGTGGTTTTCTTCTCCTCATCAAACCAAATGCACTACGGTCTGCCCCTGTCAGGAACAGTGTGCTGTCTGAACACCTACCATGTTTACGTTTAGGGTGAAAAATGTTTAGGTATTAAAGTGAAGATGGGAATCCTCAGGGGCCCGTTTTCCAACAATCAAGAATGGATCCAGTGAAGCACCTTCAACTTTGAAGTAATTTTTGCTTGCTTCTGGTAGCTCTGTCTTTCTATCAGCTCCATCTGAACTTAAAATGATAATGGAATTATTTTCAGTCTTTTGGCTCATATGTTGAAGTTGCTTCATTGTACAGGCCACTAGAAGACTGGATGTGGAGTTGTTCCATGAAGAGCCATGTCTACTGATTACATTTAGGTTAGTGACATTGCATGCATAGTTAGCCTTGCTAACTGACCAGCAAAAAGGGTGAAAGAGGCAGTCACATTGGCAGCCAATCTGTGTGTGCGTGTGTGTGTGTGTGTGTGTGTGTTTCCATGTTGTCATGCCACGCTGATGTCATGCCTTTTTTTCTACTCCTGAAGTACCGCCTCAGACTGAATGATGCCATGAATACAGTTTGTAGTATTTGGATCATGTGAACGTAAACATTTTCAATATTTACCACGAGGAGGCATGTTTAGTTTGCCTTTCAGTAGTGCATTATGTAGACCTTTTGAATAACTTATTGCTACTTTTGACCAAGGAAAATGTAAAAGAGGGACTGGGTAAATGAAATTGCATGATCTGGAAAATAAATCTTTATTTATACATTTGTGAGCTGTTGCATATTTATAACTCATACATTTGCTGATGGATTAAATTTCTGCAGATTTGGGACATTTACAAAATGAAACTAAGCCGAGTGTGAAAACAATGGGAAAACTTTGCAATGAAATGCTCTGACATGCACTATTGACAGCTTTCACTTGAACTACTGAAAAACTCTTACACACACAAGCAGAGTAACTTCAGTAACTTCCACATTTCTAGACATTCTGTAAAGCATAGATTCTTAAACACTCCCTGCCACCAGAGTCACATCGAGTTTATTTACATATAATATTGTAGCAACAAGGTGCTTTACATGATGAAATAACTTTGATGGTGACTATAAAACCTTGAGAACATACTGCTGATTTCTATACCTGCTCCTTGTCTTTTGGGTCGGTTCAGTAGCAATTTTATATCCTTATCTATTCTTGCTTTACTTATTACTACACATATTCCAACGAGGCTTTGTAACAACACTTTAATCATGAATTCAAGAAATGAACACTTGGTACTGTGTCAGTGAAACTGAGGAAAATGATGCCATTGTGCCTCACACCCTCAGTGAATGTAGAGGTGAGTAAAATGACAGCCAAAGAATCTCTGGGGCTTCAGTGAGAAAACAACCACACAGATGATACTTCTTCTCTGCTTCAATGAAACACTTCAGAATCCTTCATCATCATCACTGTCACATCACATGACCAAACAAATACCACATAACCAAGATGGAAAAAAATGTCTTGTTAATCATCCAATATGTATGGAATCTTTTTAAACATCAGCATCTTCAGATGTAAATTCATATAACACAGCGACCCTCACCAGACAGCATGTACTTCTTCAAATATATAATGTACATGTATAATATATCACAAACAATATGTGAGACATCCAGAAAACTTATACACACTGAAAGGAAAATAAAATGAATAAAGGTCTAATTTACAGATTATTCGCCAAACAAAACCCAATGTTATCTGTCAGCAAAGAAACAATGGCACCAGTCTGCTGAGCTAGCTAACAAAACAAACATAAAGACTATAACTATGTAATGCAAGCTAATAAAGCACAAAGGCTCTGAGACAGATGTCTCGGTTGTCAGATGTTTTGTTTACACTCAGACATGATCAGCCAAGAGTAGAGCTGGAATAATTCCATAAAGACATTGAAGACAAAATTGAAATGTGAAAAAAACCAAAAAAAAAACAGTAACAAGTCTTTGCGTCTCCATGAGAAAGCAAACAAACAAACAGGAATTTATCAAAGCAGTACAAAATTCCAGTCGATCAACTGATGCTTGATGAGGAATGAAAGCTTCCCCTCTAAGTCAGAGAAGTTGCTAGCAAAAAAATGTTTTATTCATTTACATTTCAGTTGTGACCAAAGACATGCAGACATGTCCACAGACATGTTTTTATAACATGAGAAATGTTGTACACTTTTCATATTAATATCTTATCTTGAGTCACTGCCCAAAAGGAGGTATCAACTAAAATACAACATTTTAGTTGTATTTAATTGTTTGATGCACCAACCTTTCAGTTCCACAGCTTGTGGCACAGTGATCAAGTGATGGAGCTACATTTTCATTTTCAGGGTGCCATGCCCCTGGAAAGGTTACCTATGGCTGATCCCGAGGTGAGGGATCAGACAGAGCGCAGTTCAAAGTTACTTCTAACTTGAACTGGAATTTATTCTAGAGTATCAGAGTAAAGGGGGCTGAATATTAATGCATGCCACACTTTTCAAATTATTAGTGAAAGTTCTTTAACCATACATTATTTGCCTTCCACTTCACAGTCATGTCCCGCATTGTGTTTTGTAGTTTATTAGGATTTATTAAGTTAAATCCTAATAAACTACATTAAAGTCTGTGCTTGTAACATAATAAAATATTTAAACTAAAGTATGCATATACTCTATTGTGTATAAATATATAAAATCAAGCTGTTTACATACTTTTTGCTATGTAATTTACCTATCCATGGCGTTAACCTTTTCTATTACACTTCTGTTAACTACAGTGATCTTGTGTCAGAGACGCTCCTCTGCAGACACATTAGAGTTTTTGTCAGAGGCGGAGCTCAGAGTTCCTGCACTATACAAGCAATGGACTGTCTGAAAGCTGAATGCTGCTCTGGTGAAGCAAAGCTTCTCTGCAGGATGTTCCACTGAACACTTGGAGCTCCAACTGACTGGCAAGTAAAACTGCACTTTTAAAGACTTTCACTTTGCACGAAAGCGTTTTCTTTTAACTTGTTTATAAAGGTAAACATTTCTTATAGTTTACATGGATAGAGATGATCTTCATTTTAAAGTGAAGACATGAAATATGATTTACTGTATCTATTAAAGTGTTGATTTTCATCATCACGGAATATGAATGAGGTTTTCGTAAATTAACACGTTTGCCAGGCTCATCAAATGCAACACTTCACTGAAAAAATGTTGTTTTTTTGGATCACTTCAAGTTTCTTCAGGCTGTTCACTAACGCCTACATTTCATAAAGCTCTATGCATGGAAATGACACAAAATTCACTCATTTATTTCAGTAGCTGTCTCAGAGATGACTGTAGAATATGCCTGTAGTTAAAGGTGCGGACTTTTTTGTCAGTGGACCAATGTAATAATTAAAAAGACATTTTCTCCCTCTTTTTTAGCACTGTACATACACCTAAAGTCACTGACTGAAGAAAGGCTCTGGGAATATGAGATGATTTTGGCTTTAATTAGTACAGCCTGTATTAGTAATGTCATGTATTCTTTACAGGCTATGCTAATCTATGCCAGAATCAGCAAAACATTGGATCACGAGGATAGAAAACTAACTGAAATATATTGTTTGTGGTGTGTAGATCTTTTGTTTTCTTTTTATCAGGTTCTGCATGTTTTACCTGCTTGGATCCAAAAATGTTTGGGTTAAACACTGGCCAAATCTGAATCCGTTTCACCTTTACAGGTGAAACGGATAAATAATAAGTATAAGCATATTTAAAATTGAATAACAAAAGGCTCTCTAAGGTAATGTTTTCCATCCTTCCCTTCGTCCTGATGTTGATGCCATGCGTTACGAGTCCTTGAAATGTTTCCAAGAAACAAGAAAGGAAGTCCAGTTGTTTTCTATTTCTGCAGTCAGTGCCTCCCTGTAAATATTCGGCATAGTTCTGTCACTGCTTGCTAAAAATACAAACATTTTATCCCATTATACTATGTGACAAACGTTTGAACTTTTTCTGCATACAGCTTCTATCTCAAGCTACGTCAATCATATAGCCTTACCGAATATATTAAATATGTATCTAGCCTGCCTAACCTTGAAAATATATCAAAATTAAGAATCAATTCCAAGAAAACAGAAATACCTGAAATCTTGCCATGCTGGACTAAAGTAAATCAAGAACTCTGACAGTTTGATTTTCTCTGCTGTTTTTGTGCTTTATGGGACTATGGCTGTCCCATAAAGCCCAAGTGCTTTGAAATGTCAAAACCCAGATCATAGAAGACAAAACAGTATGCTTTCATGCATGGTCTCTTTTTCCCAGCTGATGAACCAGTTCCCTTCAATGATGAGACTGACAGGTTACATTTAAGATCCAGTCCAAACCTTAACTGTCAACATTTAAACTACATTTTGTTTTTTGTTGTTTTTCCAGATGGTCATTAACCACAATGAATCTGACTTCTGCTTCTGATCCCGCCCACTTCTTCCCTGATAGCCCTTCTGGTATGAAAGACCAAATTACATTTCAATCTAACAAAGAGCCAGAAGTAGAAATGCACATTACTTTTAGTTTGTGCACATTTACTCTGCAGATTGAATCAGGATATTACAGATGTTTGAAATACTTTATAACTGTACTTTTTCAGGTGCCTCTTTCCAGCAATGGTCCAGGTACTGGAATTTGCATAACATTAGTATTTTTTCAAGAAAAGGAGGAAACATTTCTGAGTCCGCAGTTAACATGACCTTCAAGCTGCCTGAAGAGGAATTTGATCCACTGGGAGGTCACACTGTGTGGCAGGTAACACATTGATAATAACTTTATTTTCAATTCTGTTTTTTGACACTTTTATTCAACATATTTTCCATAACAACAGTTTTATTCTCATTTGTAAAGGGATCAATAAAATGAAATGAAAATTGATTATTTTAACTTGACATCTACAAATTTGGAATAATTCCATCATTCCTTTAAAAATAATACCAATATAACTCTGACTCTTATCTTTCCATAAATTACACTTCCAGAGAAACTACAAAGTCAAGAGAAAATTCTTATGTTTATCGGCAGAAAACATGCAAAGTTTGATTTGCTTCCAGTTAAACTCAATGGTAGTGAGACACGTATACTGCTGACAGTCCTCTGAAACTCTGGGATTATTTTTTAAATGGTTTTTATAAAACAAAAGAGAAAAAAAAAGATTTAATTTTTAATTTAAATTCATTGTTTGTAACTGTACACATGTACAATGAGATTAAATTCAACTCCACAAACAGTGCGAAGAAAGAAATACATATTTACAACACTATATACAAATATATATACATGTATACACATATACAACCACTATATAATTAGTGTGTGTTGGCTTCAGGGTGTTCATTGCTTTTGGGAAGAAGCTGGCTTTGAGTCTTTGTTTTTGATTTAATACCTCTGTAGCGCCTCCTAGAGGACAGCAGGTCAAACAGAATGAGGCCAGGGTGGGGTCTGTCCTTGGTGATGGCCTCAGCTCTGCTGAGGCAGCAGGAGGTCAGTCAACATTACTCTGCAGCCTCACCCTGTTTGTAACAGTACAGCTGCTGTTCTGTATGCTGTTTGTCAGCAGGCTCAATAGATGGTCAACAGCAGCTTGGAGTTTAGTTTGAACTTCCTCAGGACCCATAAAAAGTGTAGCAGCTTCTGAGCCTTCTTGATGACTGCTGTGATGTTTGTATTAACCTGCAGAGATGAGGACCCTAAGAAACCTGAAGATGTGGATCCTCTCGCCATTAATGTAGAGAGGAGCTAGTTTGGTACTCAGCTTCCTGAAGTCCATGATGACCTCCTTGGTTTTCTTTGGTGTTCAGAGGGAGGTTAGTCTCTGAACATATGGCTCCAGCTTCAGGACTTCCTGAAGGCTGCCTCATCACCCTATGAGATGAGTCCAACCACTATGGTGTCATCAGCAAACCTGATGATAAAGTTGTTATTGTGGACTGGACTGATATCTTGGGCATGGAGGTAATAGAGTAAGGGGCTGAGCACACAGCCCTGTGTGGAGCCAAGTCTCCGTTTGAGGTTGGTTGGTGAGGAAGTCTTTTATCCTCATGTGAGAGGAAGAACACAGAGAGTGACCGGTTCTGTTATGAATCTGTCCGGGATTATTGTAGTGAGACACGTATACTGAACTGAACTGTAGTCAACAAAAAGCCTCCGGATCCTTTGCTGCTCCAGGTGCTGAGTGGCGTCCTTTGTGGATCTCTTAGCATGATATGAACTGGTGAGGGTCTTAGTGTTGGAGCATATGGTCTGTGATGTGCTGCAGAACTAGTCTCTCTAAGAACTTCCTAATTACTGACTTTTCTGACTTTATTTAGTTGCATCTCCTCTTCATTCCCAGGTCATCATCATCGTCTTCCTCACCGGATCCCTTTCTTTCGTCACTGTTGTTGGCAACATCCTGGTTTTACTGTCCTTCAAGGTAAATAAGAGCCTGAAGACAGTTAACAACTATTACCTGCTCAGTCTGGCCTTCGCTGACCTGACTATCGGCACTTTGTCAATGAATCTCTATACTACCTACATCATCATGGGCCAATGGGCTCTCGGGCCGGTGGTTTGTGACTTGTGGCTTGCAATAGACTATGTGGCCAGTAACGCCTCCGTCATGAACCTGCTCGTCATCAGCTTTGACAGGTAGCTGAAAGTATTTTAATTTAAAATTTTCTTCTAAATGACTGTATGACTTTGTCTTTTGCATTTAAGAAAATTCTATATATTTACTCCAATGTAAATATGAACAATGTTACAGTTCTGCCATTATTGCTGCTTTGGGCAAGACTCTCTTGTCGTCCACAAACCAATAAAAATGCAGGAAATCAAAAGAAAGATGCACACCAAAAAAAATTCTAAATACCAAGTGGAGGCAGCAACGCTCTTTTTTTGTCACAGTTTTCTGTGACAAAAAAGCACCACTGGAACTTTGTGGTATGTTATTTATCGTACTGCAAAGAACAAGTTACAGTCTCTATTTATTACTTTCTGTGTCTCCCCAGGTATTTTTCTGTAACCAGACCTTTGACATATCGGGCCAAAAGAACAACCAAGCGAGCCATGACCATGATTGGACTAGCTTGGTCCATCTCTTTCATTCTCTGGGCCCCGGCCATATTGTTCTGGCAGTACATTGTGGGTGAACGCACGGTTCAGCCAAATGAGTGCTATATCCAGTTTTTGTCCGAGCCCATAATTACCTTCTGCACTGCTATTGCTGCATTCTACTTACCAGTGAGTATCATGGCCATTTTGTTTTGGAAGATCTACCAAGAGACAGAGAAGAGAGCTAAAGATATACAAGGTCTCAAGGGATTTGGGTCAGGCACCAACCCGAGCCAGGCTCAGAAGCTGGACAATGGCGGTGGAAAAGATGCAGTTGGCAGCCAGAGGATATCATCAATCATGCTGCGCCAAATCAGCTCCCAGAGCGTCAGCAGTAGTGAAATCTGTTTGTCTTCTCCAGAGAGAAACAGGAACAATAATTCCAACTCACCAGGAGTGGAAAACCAAAAGTGCAGTAGAACTCTATGTTTTCAGTTCTCAGCCTGCTGGACTCGTTTTTCTGCATCAAACAGATCCTGCAACACAACAACAAGTACAGGAGAGGAGGCTGAGCGCAGCAGCGTTAACGATGACATGGTTGCTGCTTCGGAGGTGAACCAGAACAGTCTACATCATGAAAGCATCAAAGTTCAGAAAGGCTCGGATGGACTTACTCCCTCATCTTTTCCTGACCAGTCAGTTGCCACGGCAACCGGAGATGCTGTGCTTGCCAAACGATTTGCCACTAAAGCAAAAATAGAGATCAAGAAGCGCAAAAATGAAAAAAAAGCAAATGAAAAAAAAGCAAATGAAAAGAAAGCAGCAAGAACTCTGAGCGCTATTCTGTTTGCATTCATAACCACGTGGCTGCCGTATAACATCATGGTGTTGGTCAACACTTTCTGTCAGGACTGTATTCCAGAATCTCTGTGGGCTCTGGGGTACTGGCTGTGTTATGTTAACAGCACAGTGAACCCCATGTGCTACGCTCTGTGCAACAAGACCTTCCGAACAACCTTTAGGGATCTATTAATATGCCAGTGGAATCAAAACAGGAACAAGCCCAATTTTAATCAAAGGCAGGCTGTTGGCTCTCAAAAGGAGCCGAGATAGATTGTAATACTGGATTGATCCATTGGGTGGAAATATTTTCTTTAGGTTTAGGTGTAATTAACTATGCCTCTGTGGAAAGAATGCTCATCTGTTTCTTTATTAACTTGTTTAGTTTATGGGTTTTACCACACCTTGTTGGCAAGGATATGCATCAGAATCACAATTCCTTTATAGTCATTGAACAAGAAAGCACAAGAACATTTTAAAAATACAGACTCTTAAAGGCAGTGCAAATAAATAATAATATAGATGTGTGTTCAAATATCAGTGGAAAACAACACTTTTTAAATATAGATTTAGTAAATTATATTTGAACTTGACAGAATAGACCTTGCTTACACTTGTATTCATATTTTTGGTTTTCATTTTTATAAATATATTAAGAGAATTTAGTAAAAATTATTTCTATATTTGGCAATATTGTGCTGGTTTTAAGTGATTTTACACTCAATAATCACATAATTATTGTGATTTTTGAGAGCCACAGTCAAATCTATTCTTTCAAATAAACAGTAATCCATGCCTTCATTTCATCATGACTGGATTCAGTAATCCAGTCATGGATTACCTCCACCTCAGAGTCAGCCAGTCTTCACTTACACGTCTGCAGCTGGGGCAAAAATGCTGCTGCTCGTCTTTTAACAGGAACATGTAAGAGAGAACACATTACGCTGGTCCAGGCTTCTCTCCACTGACTGTCTGTGTATTTAGGAGTTAATTTTAAAATCCTTTTGTTTGTTTTTAAGATTTTAAACAGTAATAACCTTTCCTAATTTACCTTAATAAACACGTAAGATGATTTGGGACAGGATGACCTACAGAAGATGAAATCACACATCAGAGAACAGATAAAGAGAGAAAAATGAGACTTGACAGGAGTGAGGGTCCTGATTGAGCACCCTCACCAGGTGAATCAGGACAGAAGACATGAAGACTGCATCTGGAGAGCTTAAGAAAACAGAGCGGGAGATGCCTCATCACCTGTTATCAGATCCAGCACAGCTGTCACACACACTCAACTCACACATGCACACGACTTGTACTTGTGTGCCTGTGGCGGCCACACACACACATCACACACACACCAAGAATCTGAAGTCCAGGAACACTGAGGAAAACCTATCATCCCTAAGATATCATGAATATCAGTCGAGTCACACTTGTACTGTCATTTAAAAAAAAATCAATTATATTTTTTTAAACATCTAAATTCTTTTTGTAAGTCATACAGTTTTCTCAGTTTTTTTTCTCAGTTACTTATAATGGGACCATTTGCTATTGATATTTGCTATTTACTAGTTATTGCTATGCAGAAAGCAATGCAATAATATTTTGTCAAACTATAATTTTAACAGTGAAAACATTTTCTTACATTTAAAGGGAAATGACAGATTGGTTTCATGTTGCTTCATATTAAGGCAATGTTCATAAGCTGCCAGCCTGCAGCTCAGAAGGTTTGGTTTTTGGTTTTGTGTTTCACTGTCGACGAGTTGCTTGTAGACCCTGTAATGTATGTGATCAGATCAGAACTTTGTTGTGATTAAAGATTTCTTAGGATTTAACAGAGGTTCATGATCTTGCTTTTGTTGTACTCATGCTTCTCTGTTGTTATCTGCATCAACTGTGTAAATTCTGACATTCTGCAGAACATAACAAACAGCTGCTTAAAAGTGAAACCTGTGGGGGCGATGACTTATTGATCTTTGAGGACCAAGGTCTGTGGAGGAACAGAGGTAACTGATCTGACATCAAATATTACACACAGCAATAAATTACAACTTGTTTTATTGCTATAGTTCCATTTTACTTTTGTCTTCACACAGCAACAGATTACACAACACAGATTACAGTGTTCCTGTTTACAGTGATCCAAGTAGTTCTCCTATATCTTGCTTATGAGTCAATATTTCTTGTAATTTTCTGAAACAGTGTTCAGTAAGTCTTTAGGTTTTCAGAAAGTTAGTTTGTTTTTCTTCCGATTTTGACTGTATTGTCACTCATTTCTGTTTTCAGCCTTTGTAGATGAGTATTAAGGTCTTTATTTACCTCTAACATGATGTAAGCAGTTATGGTTTGTTAAAACTCAGCTAATATAATTTTAGGTATAAAGTTGCTGGTGCTAAAATTCTGGTTTTCTTCATCCAACAGAAAAGAAAATACATGATAAATACATTTACCATTTCTGGCAGAAATGGTAAATGTATTTCTGGAAGTCTACTGTAAAAAACTGTTTTTCTAAAACGTTTAAAAAGACATGCAGATGGTGCTTTAGGAGCCTTTCCTCGTGATGATTTCTGTCAGAGCTGCAAAATTTGAAACAATCAAAAATATGAATTATTCCCCTAAAGCTTGGTAAATAAATAAAGCACTATCACTTTAAGAATATATGAAAATATAGGCAACAAACAAACCTGAAGAAAATAAATCAAGTTAATCAGCTTCAAGAATGCGTGAATGAAATATGACTGGACACAAGGTTAGACAGAAGAAAACCTGATATTGATCCTTGGTTGATTTAGATGAGAGATCTGCGACAATCGAACAAGTAATTTCTGTCAGCAAAATGGCTCTACTCGTGTAGAGCCATTAGAAAAAAGACAACTTATAGTTTTAGATAAAAATCTACTCCAGAAAAGTTGGTGTTATTGAATTAACAATTTTCAAGTCTTAGATAAAAATACTTCATATTTCAAAACATCAAGACTGGATCATTGTCTTATGGAATAAAACAGTGTAAACAAAAATTATATGAGATATATCAGTCTTCAAGTATCCACTAACCACAGTAAATGTGATTTTTACAGGCATTCATTTGAACACATGCTTCTTTAAAACCTTCCAGCGTAGTGTCAACAGATTTTCTGTTGACTCTGTTGGGTCAGTTGAAGATTGTTTTGACAAACATTTGTGAAAGAATAGCTCACTCTCCAGAGCTCAGTGAATTCCAGTGAGGACCTGACAGGATGCTACACCATGGGGGTCCAGCTGCAGCTGGGTCAGTTGATTTCAACTGACCCAACAGAAATGCATATTAACAGAATCCACCTGGATTATTCACAAGGGAAAGTCAGAATCCCGGCAAAGATATCAAGTCTCCCACTTCCAAGTGGAGACTTGGAAAGTTCAGTTGATGACTAAGTTCAGTGGATGACTAAGCAGGAGTGATCTTAACATGGATGAAGAGAGAGGCAGGAGAAAGGCTGGAGCCATCCAGCTTCAGCAGGCGCACATGGCGATAACCTGCAGACAAGAGACACAGTCAAGATAGAGTTAAGCTCACAAACCTGGGAACCCTTGGCATGTCTTTGCTTCAAGCCTCCATTTCAAACTACACTGTACTGCCAAACTTATTTGCTCACCCATTCAAATTATTAGAATTGGGTGTATACACTGAAACATCTTGGCTTGCAGATTGTTTTGACAAACATTTGTGAAAGAATAGCTCACTCTCCAGAGCTCAGTGAATTCCAGTGAGGACCTGACAGGATGCTACACCATGGGGGTCCAGCTGCAGCAAAGCCTTGGTGATGACCAACTGCAATACAAAGCGTTGTATGCAGGGGTGACGTTTGGAGCTGGTCCTTTTTTATTTTCCACCATGACTGAACCAGAGCACAAAGTAAGGTTCATGGAGACATGGATGGAGAGTCTGGTCTGGGTGAACTTGACTGAACTGCACAGAGTCTTGACCTCAACCCAATAGAACACCTTTGGGATGAATCAGAGCAGAGACTGAGAGTCAGACCTTCTTGTCCAAAATCAATAGTCAAAAATCCTCTTAAACACACTTATAAAGCTTGAGAACAGCCTCGACAGAAGAGTTGAAGCTGTTCTACCTACAAAAGTGGACCAACGTCATGTTGGATTAGGAAAGGGATGTCACTTAAGCTCATATGTGAGTCAAGGCAGATGAGCAAATAGGTTTGGCGATATAGTGTATATGCACACACGCACCTGTGCGAAGACTGGTGAAAGGTAATGTAAACTGCCCTAAGAAGTCATTACTAGAGGTATAGTCATGATCCTCCACTACGAAGCGCACCAGAGCCAGGTCAGGTACATGAACGGTGAAGTTAAACGTACAGTCCCAGCGTGGATTGAAGCCTAAAACCAACAACAGTCAGTCAAACATGTAGCGTGTTCCTGCATTTGAACACTCTCATTCACTGTCAGTACCATTGTTGTCCACATGATGAGTTTTCTTCTTAATGTTGTCAATGGGAACTCCGTGGATCTCCACCCATACCTGAGGATCCACTATAGTGCTGGGTTTGTCCCACTCTGGTTTAGGTAGCTGCTGAGCTGAAATAACCTTCAGCACAAAAACAATAGAGAAGATATTAGTGAAGAAGAATCATTTTATATTTATTACATCAGAAAACTCCTCTGAATTACAACATAAATATTTGCAATGATGTCCTCATCCAAAGCTTTATGGATGAGGACAGAAAAAAAAAAGATCTAGTCAGGTCCTGCATCCAAAATGGAAAATCTTAGTAGAAAAACATAGTACACCACATAAAGCTACTGCATTTAAATAAACTGGTCATCAGCAGAATAAAAATTCTAAAGCTTACATTTCTGTTTTTACATATGTTCATGAAGTAATAATGTTCCATCTTACCTGAACAGTGAGCAGCAGAGGTTTGTGAGCCGGACCACCTCCAACATTCTCTGGATTGAAGGAGGTGCTGGGTTGTCTCATGAAAGGGGGCTTTAGGACAAACCCACAAAGACCATTCTGCAAAAACCGGCCTTGATTTAGATCCATCGACTCACCAGACGTCTGGAAATTCAGAGCAACTAGAGGACACATCACAGCAGAGTTATCCACTAGGGGGTGAGCTGTGAGAGAACATGCTTATTGAACACATTCATTACTCTGCTAGATTAGATTAATGTGTGGCTGAACTACCAGGCATTTTCCAGTGTATTTCTTTATGTCAATGAGTGAGAAAGAGAGAAAGAGAAAATTTTGCACGTCAATCCCCACTCTCCCTTTCTGTTGTTGTGTCCTTGGGAAGCTACTCCCTCATTTTTCCTCCTGCATAATGGTCCAGCATACAAGTTATACGACCACCATCAATGTGTCAGTTGGTGGGTGGAATGACTGAATGTAGTGTGAGGCGCATTGGGATCCATGAACTCTATCAAGTTGTTCTTGAACTTGATAGAGTTCAAGTGTTATCAATCAGTTATGTGACCTCACAAATATGCTCCTGGAAAAATGGTCAAAAATTCCCCTAAAGACTCCTAAACCTTGTGGACAGCCTTCCCAGAAGAGCTGAAACTGTTCTAGCCAAACAGAGCAGCTGTTTGGCTAGACATCCAACACAAAGTTAGTACAACATATTAGCTTTCTTGTGCTACTTTTTGGTTGTCTTGCGAATCAGTGCCATTCTCTGTTTGTGAGCCTCTGTAGTACAAGCTTTCTTGAATGGTCTGATTTCATCTGATCCATAACCTGGAATCCACATGTTCCACTGACGCTCTAGATGTAACTGAACATCTTTAACCTCCAGCGTATTAGATTTGCGATGACGTGCCAGCCCTATGGATTAGGAAAGGGATGTGACTTAAACTCATATGTGAGTCAAGCCAGATGAGCAAATAGGTTCGGTGACATGCAGTGTATTGAGACTCGTTCATAGGCATCAATTGCTGCTTTAAGCCCCTGTGAAAAACCTCTCTGATAGCGCTTGCCCCTCATGCAGTTGGACTCTCTCTCTCACACACACACACGTTAGTTTATTTATAGCTCTTGTGAGAATAGTGACATGCCCATGAAGAGGAATGTAAGAACGCCAGTTAATCTAACCATTGCTACAATTGTATACTTCATCAGGTTGTTTTGGAGGTTGTATGACTAATGGAAGATTAGACTGATTTTTAAAAAGATACAGGAGTCTTTTTTTTGTCTTGCACTTTTACTGCTGTTCCAACAATTGGACAACAGTGATTAATTTGGAAGGGTCGTTTCATACACTGCTTTATATAGGATGTTGTAAGCATAATACATGGAGTAGGCATTCTTTTAGCTCCGTCCCGTGGCATAAATGAGAATTACAATACCTAATATCATTTGTATTGTACATCTGTGTTATTTCCAGTTGAATTTGTTTCTATGAATCATCCAGTTATTGATACCTAATATCTAATGTGCTATTGTTAGACATCATACTAATGTCTACTGTTGGCTTACATGCTAGTGCAATATAAAAGTGACAGCATTTAATCTAGTATTAACATTCTAGCTAATTTTAGCTTTCACATAGATTTTTGCGTAGTGAATGCATTGTTACTGTAGGTCAACATGTGACAGCCCTCCTGATAATGTAGACCGGACTCTTTAAACCACCCACACCTGCACCCTGATGACTCTCCTCTCTCCCTCATGAAACAACACATCCCGTCATAAAAAAAGCTTTTGTGTTTATCTTTTAGCTAATTATTAAAATTAGCTAATTGGGGCTGCATAAAATGATTTAATGGAGCAAGTTAATGTTAGGTACCATGCTGGTAATTGCGCAAATACTAATAAGAGCATTTTATAGATCTTGCGCCAATCCAGAGCAAGAATTTTTGGATTGACTGAATGTTTTCCCTCCGTATCAATTTTTTTCTTTGTGTTCTGAGAATTTTTGCTTACTTCTGCTGCTTTTGCCCATTTGTTACATTTCTGCGAGTCTTCCTGATTTCAAATGCTTTTACAATTTTCATTCAAAAAGATTAAACTTACAGAATTCACACTGCATCTTCACCAGAAATGCTTTTTTTTTTCATATTTTGCTTGGCAAAGAAGATGATTTCAGTCCAGGGAGGGGCTTCAGGAGCAACTTGTCCCCCAGGATGGCTTTGAGTTGCTTGCCATCCTAAGAGCAATCTAGGAACACATATCTGAGGATTGTTTGCAGAGATCTTTTCTGATCAATCATACTGGCCAGATGTTTCCCCCCACGATTCCTGGTGTGCTGCTCTTACCAATTTGACAGCCAGCGTTCCACATCTCCTGAGGGTTGTAGTTGGACGACTGAAGGCGCTGGCCTGATGGGTAGATCCTGCTGATCTGGTGACAGTTGAGACGTACAAAATACATCCCTGCATCAGCAGGACAAGAACACTCTTAGTCGACACTCTTTGCTCAGTGGTCTCAAATGCTTGACCTGGTCTCCGAACTTTTAGATGTGTGTTTGGTTCAGCACACCTGGCTCCAATGTGAGCTCAGTAGCAGGTCTCTGTAAAGCCTGACTACATTCTGGGGAGGCAATTTAGCCAATTAACTCAGATGTGTAGAAAATGGGTACATCTAGAAGTTGTAGGACTTTGAGACCATTGGTTTACATGTAAGCTGAGAACAGACTCTGCTTATCATGATCTACAGGTTTTTAACAGAAATCTTACCTGAGTCCTTGATGAGCCTGATGGCTTCACTCTCAGAGAATGAACACATGTCAGTTGGTGGATTTTTGGCAGCATGTTCAAAACTTTTAAAGGGAACACTGCAAGTGTACACCACCAGCTCTGACAGCTCTGGACTCAACTTGGATACTCCTGGCTGGGACCATAAACATTTATCACAGTATTAAAAATGCTCCCTATTAATTCACCTTTTAATAAGTAAATAAATAAGTCATTTAATAAGTAAAATAAAGTCTGTGACCAAATCAGAGTCTCAGGCTCAAAGGGGAACTGTTGGTGATATACAACCTTCTTGACTTTCTTTCCAGATGACTTTTCAAAGCTGCTTTCCTCTTCTGATGAGTCCAAATCTGAAGAACTGGACGGATATTCTTCCACCACCTTCTCCTTCTTACCCTTCACCAGGATTTTACCCCTCAGATCCTGCACATCCAACCAACATTCCACATCAACTTTCAACAGCAGTGGCCTTCAGAAAAGAAATATACTTCCCTTTGACTTTGCTATTAGATGTCAACAAATTAATTTTCAATCTTTTTGGACTTCAAGAAAGCAAATGTCACTCTGTACAACTTCTGACCTTTAACACAAATGAAATAAGCTTCTGTTCAGTTCCATTATCTACCTCTGGACTTGGCAAAGCAGATGATTTCAGCCCAGGGAGGGGCTTCAGGAGCAGCTTGTCCCCCAGGATGGCTTTGAGATGTCGAGCCATCACAGCCTGCTGCTCCACGGAGCAGTGATTTTCCAGAGACAGAATCAGAGGGTAGGGAGATGCCTGGGAGAGCCCAATCACCACAGTCAGAACTATCTCAACAGGTCAGAGGTCAGGAAATATTTACTTGAAAATGAAATAAATATTTTAGAAACGTATCTATTCAAGCTCTATTTCAGAATCAGAATTCTTTTATTGTCATTGTCCAAGAAAGCACAACAAAATGTAAAAAATAGCAACTCTTGTAGGCAGTCCAAAAAAATAAATGATTACATTTAAATAAATCTGAAAATATACAGTAACACCGAGAAACATCAGGGATGTTCAGAACATGATGATCAGGATGAATTAGCAGCGTTCAGGGAAACAGCAGCTCTTGGACAGAAACTGTTGCTTGTCCTTCTGCTTTGTTTATTCTGCCTGTAGATTTTGTGTATCTATGGAGAATACATGGCAGTAGTGTAATGGATGAAGAGCAGGATGTTGAAATATGGATAGATGTTCAGGTCCTCACCTTAAAGGCATACTCATTGATGGTCTTGATCACCTCCACAAAGGGCACTTTGGATGTGAGCGTGTGACCGTGATAGATGATGGGTTCTCCTCCGTCTCCATCCCAACAGTCCAGCTCCACACAGCGACAGCCATGACTCAGAGCTCTGATAGACAGATCACAGAGGGCACATTCAGAAATTCAACATAAATATCAATTCCTGTAAGTCTTGTGACAGATATTGAGACAACAGAGAGTGTTTTGTTTTTTTTAACTGCAACTTCATTAACAATTTTAGAGAAAGACTCAATTCTGCTTTTATGTTTTGACTAACAGGGTCAAATTATAATATTAACAATTAAATCCTCAGGATAACATTTAAATGCTTTGTCTTTTTTGTTTATAAAAACAAAAGAAAAACAAAAATATCATGCCAGATTACAAAGCCACACCTATTTCTGGTTTTGTATTCCAAATGTATTCACCTGGAGGGAGGGGATACATTATATATAAAGAAGAGATGGGACAAGGAAGGGAACCACCAAATTCACCTTGAAGACTGGTTAGACACTTTGAATAACTGTTGGAAATGTACATCATCACTGACATTTAGGGAATTTGCTTGGAAGACGGTTACACGTGTCTTTAAAACACCAGCGCGGAGGGGCAGAAATAAAGATAGAACATGCTGGAGGTCATGTGGGTCGAAACAAGCTGGCCATTTTCATATTTTATGGAGCTAAGTTATCTTCTCACTGGGGAATAATTAAACAAAATGTGGGGGGGACGTGCTGTGGTGGCGCGGGGGTTAGCACGCCCCAAGTTTGGAGGCCTCAGTCCTCGACGCGGATGTCGCAGGTTCGACTCCTGATCCCAGCAACCTTTGCCGCATGTCTTCCCCCCTCTTCTCGCCCTCTTTTCTGTCTGCCAACTGTCAAAAATACGAGCCACAGAAAACCTAAAGGCAGTTGTCTGAAATAATTTTTCTGAACTCTTTAAAAGTACAATCTATCCATTGACTCACTTAGCAAAATAGCTACAATCACAAAATGTTCAACCCTGCTGCTGGAGGGTTGACAGCAGAAGCTGCTGCTCACGTTCTCCCTAAAACCAGGAAGATAAAGCGCATCACCCAGTTCTAAAGTCCTTCCACTGACTCCTTGTAGATCAGAAAATACACTTTAAAATGTATTTGCTAGTTTATAAATCACTGAATGGCATAATACAATGCATTAAAGATCTGCTGTTGTTGTATCAACCTTTAAGAACTCTCAGGTGTTCTGGTTCTGCTCTGCATCCAGAACAAGAACCAAACATGAGTTGTAGCATTCAGCTTTTATGCACCACTGATCTGGAACAAATTTTGCATTTTCTGGAACAAACTTCCAGAAAATGCAAAACTGAGTTTCTTTAAATCTAGACTAAAATCTCACTTGTTTTGACTTTCCTTTGATTCACAGTCACTGGAACATTGACCAGCATTTAATCTGAATTGATGAGTTTGATGATGTAATGTTTGTTTTTGTTTTCTCAATTATTAACTGAATCGTGTTTTTTATTATTCTATTTTTGTGTTTTTATGATGTAAAGCACTTTGAACTGCCTTGTTGTTGAAATGTACCATGGATATAAACTTTACTGACTGCTCTGCCACCTGGCATGAAGGAATATGAGAAGTTAATGAGACAGAACATAAGCAAATTAGGTCATTGTCCAGGTTTTCAGTTGTCTTTTTAACTGTGTTGATGTATTACAGGATGCTGCTCACCGTATGTAAGACTCTGTGCTGCTGTCCCCGGTCAGCTGGTCCTTAGTGAGGTAGGTGTTGTGTGATGAGGAGATGAAGTAATGTGACAGTGGCTGGTTCATATCTTGGTAAACTCTTAGGTGTTCGGGGTTAAACACACAGTTCTCCTTAGACAGCATGTACATTGTGAAACCATTAGGGGTCATGAACTGGTTTCTCTGGGCTGCAGAAGGTAAACGATACAAATAAGAAATGATTAAATAAATTCAGTAAACAATCAGACATAAACAATTATAGTATCCCTGTCTCTTCCAGAGGATAAATATTGTTAGTTTGAGAAATTAATTTTAAGATGTTCATTAGGAGGGTGGTTTAATCACAGCTGAACCCAGATGTGAAGATGCTCTGTCTAAAAAGACTAAATCCTACGAAACATTTCCTGTTTTGGGTCAATAAAGATGAAGTAAATTACTTAAGCTTCTTAAATACGACAATATCTTTTCCAGCTTCGAGGTTGACTTACTAGTATTTCCTGAGTGTGACTGGTATGAACGAAACCACAACTGATTGAGGTTTTGTTGTGATCACTCCTTAGCATTGACTTTGGTTATCTTATAGTCACTAATTGATGCTATGCTTTTATATCATTGTCCACTAGGCTGACCCAAGCTTCAACTTCCAAGCTTTTAGTCTTAACATGTTGCTTTCATTTTCCAGTTAACTTAAATGTGAATTAGAATCAACACGGAAGCACAGAAGCACCAGAATCTGGGCTTTTCACATTTTGCTTAAAGGCAAGGTCATCTCAGCCTAAGTAATGACAGGAAGTGTTTATGTCAGACAGAAAGAATTAAATGTTTTTGACTTTGTTTTCAACCATAAATGTTTGAAAATAGTAGTTTCTAATTAACAAGTTAGCACACCCCACTCATTGAGTTCGTAGGTGAGGATGAGACTCTGAGCGTGTGTCAGGGAGGCATCCTCCCCCTGCTGCCTCAGGAAGTCCCTCAGATCCACAGTGGAAAGGACACAGCTGTTGGCAGAGCAACGAATGAAGACAGCATCCAACTCTGGTCGGCGTAGCAACTCCTTGCAGAACACTTCGATCTCCTCGTGGTCTAGACGTCCATCAGCAGAGCGATCACATTTCTGTTGGTCAGACAGAGACAGTCTTTAATTGTGTTGTCGACCAGCAGACGGTCACAGTTGTAGCGGCTCTACCTGGAAGAGGCTGTGAGCGTACTGATCACTAAGGTCAACATTGATCATCCGCAGCAGCGTCTGCACCTCCTCATAGCTCATCTTGTCATCACGGTTCTGATCAGCTCGACTTAGATAAGCATGGATCCAAGTGATACAAACATGGTTAAGGAGGCAGCTGCTGCAGTTCCACTCATACTTGATTTATTATAGACAAGAAACATGGAAAACAGCTTAGCTCTGATGTTTGTGTTGGAAGTTTCAAGCTGAGCAGTTGAAGGATATTGGTCAAGTTTCTCTTTGTGGGTCATGTTGTCCACTCTCTCCTGCAGAGTGCGGATGCCTCGGACCCAATGCTGGGCCTCCTCCTGACTGCTGCACAGGAGATCCAGACTCTTCCGGGGTCCTTTGAAGACCACCGTCAAACATCGACCCTCTGGCACTGAGCCTGCCATCCGCCGCAGGGTTTCTGACTGGCAGCCTTCACGAACACACTCTACTTCCATGACAGAGACTATGGGATGGAAAAGCAGAGTGGAGGAACAGGAATAAGGAAAATGGAGAATATTTAATCAGGAGATATTTAGTCCAGGATCAGAAAATCTGGAGAAGATGTAAAAACAGATTTTTGAAACAAAGTAGGACCTATGAAAGTGCAAGTTTATCTAGTCTAAATCATATGCATGCACGCAACTTGCCATTACATTCCTTGCCCAGAGCATGTGGCAGGGAGGAGGCGAAATCAAATCTACAACTTTCTGATTGCACTGAACCACTGTCAATCTATTCTTGGTAAATAGCTCTGTTATAGATGCATGTGCACAGTAAAAAATACTTGATTGCAAATAAAATAGATACAACAAAATCATCACACTGGCACATTAGCTCTTAATTTTGCTTTTAAACGTTTTAGCATGTTATACGTGAAATAATATGCCAATGTAACAAGCACCTTTTCATTAATATTAAGAAACAATTGACTTAAAACTAGCTTGTATGTTAGTTTTGTCTTATTTCTAGAGTACTAAGATATTTGCACTAGAAATTAGACCAAAATACTTGCTAAGATTTTGTGTTTCTGCAGTGTATCAGTTCCTTCAGTTGCAAACATACCAGATTGCTCAGAAAACACCTTCAGCTCTGACAAACAGATAAGTGGTCTCCAGTAAGCATGGATAACCAGATGCTCTGCAGCAACAATCAACAGACGCCTGGTCAATCGGTCAAAGGTCACTTCTCATCAAAACAGGACTTTAAAGTTACACTTACTAATCATGAATAAGATTCATGAGTAGTAATCATTACACTCTGAATCAGAGCTGACAGTGTTTCAGATGACAAAGCTTTCCTCTAAACAAGTCCTGTTGTGAGTAGCCATCAGCTGAGCTATTTAGAAAAAGTCTTCTTCTATTCTCCAAACTGACACACAGCTTCACTGTCAGACTGCTGTGAGCACTCCAGTAAAGTCTCCTATGAAAGCCAAACCTGTTCTTTAAACTCTTCCAAATTAAACAAGAAGACAACCGTGCTCCTTTAATGTGCTCAGGCGGTCTCCAACCAAGCTGGGATTTCTAATTTTGACCTTTGATTCTACTTGACTGAAAGCCACAGGGGCGAGGAGCTAAGGAGTTGGGCCACCCAGCTGCGCTACAGCCAGCCCCTGTGATCTAAACTAAGTGGCACTAATTACATACAGAACATGAATGATAGGTTCTCACTGTGTGTAGTCCACATGATGATCACTGGCATCTGCAGACTTTTTTCTCACAAACATAAGAGACAATCTGAGTGGTTTCTGTGTGACTAAATCAATTAGGATCAATCGATAGGTTCTGACTTAAAATTGGGCAATCTATAACATTCAAGAAAACCCCATAGACCCCTGGGTCCCAGAGGTCAGAGGTCACATCTCAGCAGACCTGCTTTACTTGTCAAGTTAAAAAAGGGTAAAATCTTCTGGTAATGATATGCCATCAAACCACAGACCCTCCCAGCTTCCAGTGTTCTATAATCTAAATGTTTGAACTGCAACAGGATAGGGGAGCATCTTAAAATAAGCTCCAACTCTGTAATCAAGGTAGGCTCCCGTTGGTGCAGCAGGGACTGGGTACTCCAAATGCAGCAAGTAGCATTTAAGTCCAACCAAAATAGACACACTGTACAGATGTTTTACAGAACACACCCAGCAGTAATACGGTCTTAGCAAAGCGCTATATTCTCCAGGGATGGCTCCCAAACCTTAAACAAGGTCTCAGCAAGAACTGGAGCTAAAATGTCTACAACTGCAGCAAAATATGACTTGGCATATGCTGTTTCATGAATTTCAAGAAAAACAAAGAAAAAGTCAGTAAACCTTTGTTTCAGGCATGAAATCAATTAGCGATTCACAAGAGCCAACAAGGCATAGAAAACAAGAGAGTTTGATATAGAACAAATGAAAAAATACATGGTTTAGCTGTCACCAGAGAACCTGAAGGTCCAGGTGTCCAATTACACTGGACCTGCACTTTGCAGATGCTGTGAAACTGTTTAACTGGAACAACGAGTGTTAAACTAGAGATGTGGGCTGACATCCATCTTTTATCTTACACCTTCTCCCTAGTGGGGTCCAGAGGGGTACTGGTGACTGTTAGTGGTCAACGGCCAAGAGGCAGGGTCACCATGGACAGGTCGGTCACCAGTCCATCTCAGGACAACACAGAGGCAGACAGGACAAACAATCATGCACACAGACGTGCACCCATGCAAGCACACACAAACATACCCCTAAGGAGAATTTAGAGAAACCAATTAACCTGACAGTCATGTTTTTGGACTGTGGGAGGAAGCCGGAGAACCCAGAGAGAACCCGCCATGCACAGGGAGAACATGCAAACTCCATGCAGAAAGACCCCAGGCTGGGAATCGAACCCAGGACCTTCTTGCTGCAGGGCAATATAGCTACCAACTGTAGCAACTGTGCAGCCCTATCAATAAACAATATTATTACTTTTGTTAACTAATATTTACCAATATTCTATATATTTGGACACAATGTTAAAGTAACCACATACATTGATTTTCTGCTTTGGTTAAACACCTCAACAAGGCACAAAGAGTCCAGTTCTATTTATTAGATGCAATATGAAAAGCTGACTAACATTGATATGATATTGAAAATCCCTATTTTAAACCCAACCAAAACTTTCCTTTTTGTCTGCTGTCTTCTGTTGCCCTGGTCAAAAGAAGGAACATTGGCATTTCCATGTTAGACATTCCTGTTTTCTTTGTAGTGACTGTATGAGTTCTAAAATGTAGCTACCGTAACAAACTCGTCAGTTGTAGATTTAATGCTGAAAATGAAAGCCTTTTTTTCTACACTGTTGTTGAATGAAATGAATCAATCCTGCTGCAGAGTTAACAGTGAAACACTGTGTTTGCTGTCATAATGGATCTAGACTGACTGTACTGAAAAAATATTCTTCAGATTATGAAAATAGCTCAGGGCTTTCTGTGTCTTTCTTACAGCATGTCATGTACCTTCCTGTAAGAATTTTGTCTAGATGCGTAAAGAGAAGCTAACTCACAGGATTGTTGCTCTTTGGCCCGGCTGGATGTCTTCTGGGATTGACACCAGATAGTCACACCATCATCCAGAAGCTTCAAGGTTCGTTGTTTCTGCCAACGAGCTGATCGGACTTTCACCATGCTGCAACCCTGCAACATCTGCTTCACATCTTCATCATCCTGAATCCCTGGGAAGAACAAGGACACAGAAAGAAAGATATATGATGGCACGCAACATGAGTTTGGTGTGGACATCTGGTTATTGCCAGAGAGTGTAAGGTAGTGAATCTCATGAGAAGTCTTGTTGATAGCTGCAGACTGCTATCCTCTGTTACTTTGCAAGGCACTTCCTACATCTGATCTGACCATGCAAAACAGATAGTAAGTAATTAACAAACCTGAACAGTGTAACTTTAATAACCTCTAACAATAGTAAACTGTAAAGTAAAATTTTCCATAGCTGTTAAAGAAGGTTGTAACAACCATATTTTGGCAGTTGCTAAGAAATGTATTACACAAAATGGAAACCCGATGCCCCACTTCCAATTAAAACATGACTTTGTGAAATCTATAGCTGTGTGATCTTAGAGAAAATAAGCTATTGGAAGTAAGACATTTTATAAAATATGGCAACAATTTTTAAGACATATGCAAAACTTACCTGCATAGGATTGACTAATCTTCCTGTAATTGAACTGGGCTTGACAGTATTTATGAACAATAGTGACACAATCTGACCCTCACTGCATCTCTGATTCCTATATAATTGTATTTAATCCTTAATGATTATTCCTACACCATGCTTTTTGTCTTTTTCTTGTTGTGTTATGTCAATGTAAATTTATTTTATTTAAAGTATGTCTACTTAATTGATATTGTTCTGGATTCTGTGCCAGTTAGTAATTATAACTAGTGCTCTGCTTTGAGAGAGTCAGAGAGGCCCCTTCACTGTCCACTTTTAAAGCTCGTCTTAAAACCCATCTATTTTACTTGGCCTTCAACTCCAGCGAGATCTAGTTTCACATTGTATGTTTGTTTGTTTTAAACTGTAAGAGTTTTTATTTGTTTTTATCTATTTTATGTACAGCACTTTGTATCAGCTGTGGTTGTTTTAAAGTGCTTTATAAATAAAGTTAGTATGGTATGGTATGGTATGGTATGGTATGGTATGGTATGGTATGGTATGGTATGGTATGGTATGGTATGGTATGGTATGGTATGGTATGGTATGGTATGGTATTAAAAATATCCAATATAAAGTATTGTGAAAAAAAAATCTTCAAATTTACTCGAAGCCTCTGCCTTACCTCATTTGTGCCCATCATCAAGATAAAATAATGCAATATTTTCTATTTGTAAATATTTTACCATCACAAGCCATTATAATATATAGTTCAATGTATTCTGGTCCTACTCAGCTTCAAGAAAGGCACACAGCCTCCCTCCACCATCACCACTGATATATTATTTAGAGGTGCAACGATACATTGGACAGATGGTAATTCGATGCAGATTTTCTTAATTTTGGGAGACATGTGATCCACTTACACCAATCTTATCATCCTCAGCAAAGATCTGAAAGTCAGCCACAGTCCTCTAGTGCTCTGCTTTGAGAGAGTCTGACTAACACACCCACCAGGTCATGTCTGCATATTTGCAGTTCACAATAGTCACTCCACTGTTGGTAACCCAGCAACATTTCAGAAAAGAAAATGAGTATTCTCCAAAAACTGAATTGGCACGTCAGGTTTTTTGATTGGCCAGAAAACTGCTATCGGAGCATCCTCGATATTATCAACGAGGAGAATGAGAAGACATGATCCCACTTGCAATAATAACTCTAATACAATATTGTGCAGATCTTACTCTGTATTTTTCTAGGTAATACTATTGATTATCCTAGGAAAAATGCATAATGGTAAGAACAGAGGAGAGGGTGCAACAGCAGACAATGGGATTTAAGTCTTAATTCTCTGGTCAGGGTCCCATCATTCCAGCCTGTGAGTAAATACAGCTCTAATTCTGGTGCCAGGATTCAGGACTGATCCAGGACCTAATTCTCTGCTGCCAGTCCGAAGGATTATTACTACTCTGCCAATCTTGGAACAGATTAGAAGGAAAGAACTCAGATGCACAGGATCTTTTAACAGCAACATGTTAAAAGATCCTGTGCAGTACCCACACAGACTGCAGTTACGCATGTATGAGATTTAATGTCCACTCACCACAATTATGCATATCAGTGGTTTAGTCTGAAAGTGTTCAAACCAATAAGAAGATTAATCATGACTTCACTGATCAGAGCTGAAGATCAATGCTTCCTCTGAAGCTGAAGACTGCATGAAGTTTGCTGAACCTTCAGCAGCAGCCAAATAATATCAGACTCAGACACACAAGTTAAAATCAGTGCAGTTCATTCCACACTGGAAAATTAATTTAACTTCATATGCAGATGAAGCTCCTCTGAATATATTTAAATGGTTAAATGAAATGTAGGCATTAAGCCTGCAATGTACCGTCACATTATTATTATCATTATTATTGTATGTTTCATTTAAAGACCGCTTCAAACCTGGCAGTACAAATTCTGCCAACAAACCTTTTCGCTCACAGCATTAAAACGAGTTCAAAGAAGCAAAGATCCAGCAGAGTGGAGAACAACAGAGGAATCATGCCTCAAATAGGAAAGATTTGTCAAAAGGAAATATATTCAAAGATCTGACAGGAGATTAGGAAAGCTTCATTGTGTAGCTATTTCCACTTCTGGGATCAAAGTGAGTCTGACAGTTTTAGTAACTCATGCTGGTCCTGGAGGAGTGAATGACTCCATGCAATCTGCTGGGTTACCTTTAGATAGAAGCGTTTTAATCTACTTTCAATAATGAATCCAGTGTAATGTGCAATTTAATAAAGGAACAGTTGGAATGAATGTATTGTTGAATTTAAATATTTTTATAAAATGCCTTCAGAGGACATTTATTGTGAATTAGCGTTATATAAATAAACTGAATTGAATGTAACTGAAATGTCCAAACATGGCCATAAAGACAATTACATAGACTTTTTTTCAGTGCTAATTCTTATTAAGCTGTAGTTAAAAACAGCAACTAAGTTAATATTCATGTAGGCCTACAACATTTTAGAAATATTTAGTAATTAATATGAAATGACTAAAAACATGCTGCTGTTGTTTGAAAGCTCCAGCTGTCTCCAGTCCTGCAGTGTTTGTGGATTCAGAGCCTCAGTAATCCCTTCTGCTCCAGTTCGCTTTGAACGGATCATTGCTCCGTTTCCCTGCAGAGACTCTGCAGCCTTCAGGATGACTGCAGCGCACTGATTGATCCTTTCGTCTCATACGAAAGAGGCGACATGACGGTTCCAGGTTCTGCCAAACGCCCTCAGATTATCTGGGCCGAATAAGAGAAACACTCACCCAGATTCCTCAGGGGGTCGATGGCCTTGGGTTCGGACGTCCCGGCCCGGTTCTTCTTGTGTTTGGCGCCCAGCATGATGCGCAGAAGCTCCGGCCGCTCCGTCTATGTGAGCCGCAGGGTGGTGGACGGTCAGTCGGTGCTCTGCTGGCCGATCCTCAGCATTTTAACCTGCTCAGGGGTCTGAGAGCCCCACTTCTTCAAAATGATGTCACTGGCGTCCATCTGACGTCAGAGCCGACGAAGTCCTCCTCAGCAGATTTTCAAAATAAAACGGGAGGAGTATAATACGCGGATGAAGCTGTCCAGTTTTCTTTCTGAGCATAAAGTTATTTCCAGGAGTGTGAAATTCTGTTCCCTGTGTTGGGAACGAGCATAGCAGCCAGAGAGACAGATCTTACCATTTTCATGATGCTTCTGATCAATTTCTCTGTAAAAACAACTCATTTAATCATGTCGAGGTTGTAACATTCAGTTTAATCGGCAGCTGTTTAAAAAAGAAGAAATAACAAAATTGTGAAAAATAAATAAACAGGATCTTCTGTGTTATTTTAATCACCAAGAGTATCGGTCTTTTTCCAACTTTTGTCACTTAAGCCTGACAAATAAAAGTCAGTCACCAAACACAGGTTTCCAACACGTTATGTGTATTGATCATTTTTTATTGCTGATATCAGAGGATAGAAACTGGCTGACAGCAGGGCACAAAAATTAAGACTTCTTGAAAAGATGAGTCTTTCTGGTAAATCCCATTTTAATGGATAATATGACAGATTACTGGATTAAGGAAATTTATACTATACTACATCCTATCACACATAACATTTTATGAGAATTTTGAAACAGTTGCTCTTTATTTCCCGACGTTATGGGGGAGGAGAGGAGAGAGCACCCTGAAATAATCTGTCATTTACCATTAGATCAAAGATTCCATGAAAACACTGTGGGGGAAACCAGAGAAGATTGATTCATTTCTTACTTTATTTGTTATATTTATTAACAGGCCTCTTGTTATTATGATTAAATACAATGATTAAGCCTGACTGGTATTGGATCCCCATCACTCACATTCTCCCCAGCTACTTGGTTGGATGGATCCTATTGTTATTACAATACAGCAAATGCTGTATGTAGAAAATACATACAGAAACATACAGGTATGATATTAGGAATAAATGAAATTACTGAAATAAATTGGAGTTAGGGATTTTCGTGGAAGCATGTCATGGTACACTGGTAACAGAAAATAACTGGCTGAATCCTCATTGGTCATTCATTAAAAAATTAAAAACATTCTCTTGAGAATGGGTCTTTCCTTCAGAAAATTATTTTGTTTCCAGTTGTTCCCATTTAGGTTTACGGGTCAAGAACTGAAAAGAATTTCTATTTTCTACCTGTGGATTTCGCCTTAAGGGGGCAGTGCTGGGTATTTTTCAGGCACATAGTGCTGTTTTATTGCGGCTAAGCAAAAATGTTATCTTCAGTAGCTACAAATATGAATTAATCTGTGTAGTTTCGAGGGTTCTTTTATTGCTGACAACTGTTAACAGACAAGAGCAACAGTGAGCGCCTCCACGGATCAGCCGTTACTGCGCTGAATTTCAGTTGGTTTGCTGGTGAGGAGTGCTCACTGTGTTCGATACGCCCACTGGTGGCGAACTGCTGTGACTATCCCTCCCTCAGTCTGAATAGGAGAAGTGCAGCCGAAAAATAATTTCTATAGTCAAACAGAAGTTTTCGATTAAAGAAAGAAAAGGAGGGGATGTACTTCTTTCTAATATTCTCTCTGTCTCGTAAAATTGCTGTTTATCAGTTATCTGAAAAGAATTTTGATTGACGCCTTGAAACTGGACCTCTGTCTCAAAGAAGCTCCTACTCGTTCAGACACTCCACCTTCAGCACGTCATCACAACAGTGCTTCTCCATTATGCCTTTAATAACCTCAACCTTTCTTAGGAGCGTTGGACTGCGTAGTGAAGTCAATTCCAGCAAGTGTGACATGAAAGAATCAAAGCAGCAATCCGCACATCATTTCTGCTCACTGTAGCTTTAAAGATCAACGTGACCTTGGTTGTGTCGGTGGTGCGCTTGTCACGTGATCTGACACGGAAGTATTGTGTGACGTTAACGTTAACCTGATCTCAGCAAGTCTGTCTCCAGGACCAACATTGAAACTCTGACACTTTTCTAAGCTGAAGACATCTGTGTGTCTCTGCGGAGGCCAGGCGGCTGCTGGCGGGGGAAATGAGACCAGCAGGAGACCAGAAGGACAGCTCCAGAGACAGGACAAAGTGAAAGCTAACGACGCTAAGCTGCACCAGACCGGACAGGGAGAGTCCCAGCTGAAAGGTCCCAGCTGATTGGACTGTATGCGGTCAGTGTTGCTCAGATACTCAGTAACATGATACTGCCCACAGTGAGTTCTCTGTGGTGTGTCCAGGTATCAGTGTGAGATGCTGTTGTCCTGTCTGTCTGTCTGTCTGCAGCTCTGTCTGTTAGCCTGAGCTGGGATCATGCCAGTCTTGGCCATGGCAGAGCCTGCAGTGGATCATCAGAGGCGCTTTCAGGCTGCCGTGGATGTCATCCACAAACTCCCCAAAAACGGTACGGCTTTCCCTCCTGGTGTTTCAGGAGTTCAATCTTATCAGATAATATAGTCCTGAATTGATCATTTGTAATTGTAAAACACAAGTAACAATTTCCAAACTTTAGGAGAGAAAAACAGCATATTTGGGGGTTGAGAATAACACTAGAAATCAAACTAAATATTTCATACCCCGAATTGTGAAATTTGAATGTTTGAGCCTGTTAATATTATTTGATTGGCTGGATTATAGATTTCTTTATATGCAATGTTTACCTCAGAAAACTTGCTCAGCCAGGTGTTATGCCGAGAAACGCGTCCCCTGTCGCGGGAACGCGCATCGCTCTAAACTCGCATATACCCGAGGACACGGAAATCTGACCGAAGAGGAAACTTTTAAAGATGTTTGTAACACTATCACGTTTCTTAACCGAGCCCTGAACAGTGGGTTTTATTTCGCAAATTAATTTAAATAAATAAAAGTTTTACACCTTCATTAAGACATGAGTCGAAGGTTTTTCAGTGTCTTATGAACATGTTCTCCGCAGCTGCTTTGAAATTCCCCGATTTTTCTTGAACACATAACAGCTTAAAGCTACAAAACTGAGTGAGGCCCATTATGTAGAACATTTGATATCACGCTTAACTGTCTAGTCTATTAATACAGGGGGGATACATTTACATTTCTGAGCCTGATAATATTTACATCCACTGTCTATTGTCCTGTTGATATGAAACTTTTAGTGGTAACTCAGAGAACAAGTGTCATTACGTAGAAAAGGTGAAATCCTTCTTAACTCTTTATTTCTCCATGTTAGCAGGGGGATGCATTTTTTGGCAATATGGATTTTGTTTCTGCCAAAATTTGCATGTCCTCTCCACTTTCGTCAAATATTATCGTATCAATGTGAAACAGTAGTTCATAGAACAAATGTGATTATGTAGAAAAGGTGGACTCCATCTTTATTTGTCCAAGTTAACAGGGAGATGCATTTTACAGCAAATCTCCATGCCTTATTTATTGTCCTTTATATCTGAAATGTATGTATTACTTATGATTGATGGTTAGTGTTTTTATTCTTGCTTTTGTAATAATACTGAAGGAAATAAATCTGACAATGCAACCTTGCTAAATGCAAGGTGTTCAAACAATTTTTGTTTTGATTTAACAGAAAAATTAAATTTCTTTTTTATTTACTTCCACAAAAGAACATTCACAACAGTAATTTTTGGAAAACTAATTATGTCAACAAAAAAATGTCACATGTAAAAACTGCAAATGCACTGAACTATAGTCATTAAAGAAGTAGATTGGTGTAAACATAAAATCTATAAACACATTGCACAATAGTAATCTGTCGGTTTGTGGGAACTTCATGCAGTCTTGGTGGTACCACCTGTCGCATCTGTCACATGCAATCCGTAAATAAAAAATATCTAAATGTTCGAATAACATAAAAATATTCAACTAAAGAATGTTTTTAGTTCTTTATCTGTTGACTAAAGGTGATATTGGGTTTGGTCAACATAAAGCTCCTTCTTAATCATCAATATATGTTTGGTAGCTCAATATTTGAGGATATGACAGCATGTTCCTTACATGTATGGAGGTAAAAAAAAAAATTCTAGTACCATAAGCAGTTGTAATTTAGAATGAATTTACAACTGTACTGTACTAAAAAAAACGTAAACAACTTTCCACTTACCTGCCTTGGGTGTTTATTTTATTATGATTTATTTTTGTAAATCTAATTACTTTGCAACTATTTTAAGGATGGTATATGGTTTGCTTGAATTGATTTTTCACTCCATTACATTGTTGTCTTAACCACATATCATCTTCTGTGTCCTCACTGCTACAGTGTCTGCAAAGGTTCTCCACTGACTACAGAAAAGCAAACTGCAACTTCAAATCCATGTTCTAAAATAAACTTAATGGTAATTTATTTTTTTGCTTTTTAAAAAAATTATTTTTAGAAAATATTCTTTTGAAAGTTGAACAACAATAATCCTATGTGTATATCTCAGTCATCTAATCATCCTTTTTGATGTCTGATCTCATACACAGTTACAAGTGATAGAAACTGCACATCAAGTTGGCATATTAGGCAGGCTCACATTGTTTATGTCTAATTATGAACTGAAACACATGTATTTAAGGTATTTCTGGTAGAAGAAAGTATCACTCAGTGTTTACTTTTTTTATGATTTTCTCCAACTTAAGTGACTGAAAGTATAAAAATGGCTTTCAGAAAAGCCATTTTCTCTGAGTTACCACTTTTCAACCAGACCTCCTCGGCGCCAATTACAACGACTGAGTGAAGTACCATCAGAATTTCTCATTGAAAATGTGAATGCAGCATTGAGAACGATCCCTACCAACACCATAACAGAGACCAATGAGCTGATCTACAACTCAGCATCAGTGATTCTTGATATGCTTGGCTATAAGAGCAACCATGAATGAGACCCAATACCCACCATGAAAAAGACAGTTAGAGGCTAAAATCAAGGTAACAAGGAGGGAAGTGAGCCAAATTTCAGAGCTCCACAGGGGTACAATGAAAAGACCAAAGGACATCCAGATGCCCATACTTGAAGCACTCGAAACTGCCAAACAGAGGCTCTG